GGGAAGAGAACGCTCCTCAAGCTTATGCCTTGTGTATGGTCGGAGCCAAGGATAACAAGCACAGCTCAATACTCTGATTTTATCGTAGTTCAGAATGACTGCGAATAATTTCTGATAAGGAGATTGAAGTGAGAGGACTGGCGTGGGTAGTCTATTGATGATGTACACGACAACAGCAAAAGCATATGGCCAGTAAGTTTTTGGTACTGAGGCTTTCGACAAAAGTGTCAACCCCGTTTCTACGATGTGCCTGTGTTTCCTTTGGGAGAGACCATTATGCTCAGGGGTATCCGGAGGAGACGTGAAGTGTGAGATGCCATGTTGCGTAAGGTACTCTCTCAGGGCTATATACTCTCCTCCATTATCAAAATAAAGCGTTCCAATTTTTGTTTTGAATCTGTTCTCGACTAGAGGTTTAAAAGCGATAAAGGTTGGTTTGACTTGGGGGTTTTTTTTAAGTAGGTAGAGCCAAGTATATTGGGTGTAACGATCTGGTAGAGGATTGGAGAACTCCCCACATCAGAATAAATTATCTTGAGTGGTTTTGTGGAAGTAATAGTTGAATGAAAAATGGTAATTTGTGACTTTTATTGATAAATCTGAACATGAAAGAAGGTTTTGTGTACGAAGGGAAACAAGAAGAGAGAACTTTTTGGCAATGGTGTTTAAAATTTGAGAAGATGGGTGGCCTAGTCGAGAATGCCATGAAAAGAGAGTGATTTCGGAGGTTGTGCCCGTAAACATAGCCTTTACTTGAGAGGGTTTGACTGGCCATTCATTGAGTTCATTCCTGGCTTGGCCTTAGAGTAATGGGACCCCCGAGCTGAGATCCTTCACCTGAAAGGAGGCCAGGAAAAAATCAACCAAAACACGGTTAGTATTGTATAAGCTATAGACTGAGATCAGATTCTTTCCAATCGCGGGTACACAAAGCACTTTGTTTAAATGCTGGTTTCGAGAGTGAGAAGGAAGAGAGAAGGAACCCATATGTGTAATGAAAAAGTTAGAACCATTAGCAATGAAATCATCATCTCCTCCATGGTATGGCTGATGGAGTGAGAGATTGTTGAGATCGAAGGTGATATGATGGGTTGCTCCACTGTCTAAGAGCCATTTGTTAGCTGCATACGAAAACCCAACAGCGAGATTGGCCCTTGGTTGCCACGGAGTGAATGGTGTGGCGTTAGGTTGAGACATCCCTGACAGAAAAGTTTGCAGATGAGGACAATGCTTTGCACTGTGTCCTTGGACACTGCATATCTGACATTTTCCTAAGTACAGTCGGGAGGAACAGCGAGTGTTGGGTGCCGACCAGTTTGAATGTTGTGTAGAATTCCAGTTGGATTTTTTGGGGGCATTGATGACCGCAGTAGTTGTTGTAGTTGTTCCTCTGTTGCACGGCGTTTGCTGTAACAGGTGTGTGAGGGACAGTGGTTTCAGCCGAGGTGATTAGTTTGGCATCATGGTTGAGAAGTTTCTCATGTAGCTCTAGATAGTGGGTGGAGTGTCTCTTCCCTCTATTTGATTGACGATAGATTTGTATTCGTCAGGGAGACCTTCAAGAATGATCTCGATCTGGTCTTCGTGATCCATAGGCTTCCCTAAGATGGCCAGTTGATTAAGACGAGTTGTAACATCTTGAAGGTAGTCATTAACAGTCTTAGATTCTTTCTTCCAGTTTTTGAGTTGACTCGTTGTTTTATGTGACCCCGGCTCGGTTTTGCATAGATTAAGGCCAACGTTTGCCAGACTTCAAAAGAGGAGGTGGCTCAGGAGACTAACAGCTGAATAGACGGGGAGATTGCGCCGATGAGAGAACTGAATGTCAGTTTATCTTAGCGCTTCCAGAGATTGTAGGCGGGATTTATCAAGATCTGGTCATTCGTCGTTATGGTGGCTGTAGGAACAATCATCGATCTATCTATGTGAACAGATAGATCGTAACCATCGAGCAAGGCATGGATTTGTAGGCTCCACATAAGGTAGTTGGTGGAGGTGAGTTTTTTCACATTTGACATGTTCACTGTGAGAAGTGTTTGGTTATTTGGACTGATAGTATCAGTGACGATGGTGGGTGTAGAAGATGTGTTTTCAGATGACATTGTTTAGAGGTGTTTGGGAGAATAGAAAAATGTGTGTTTATAGATCAAATAGCTCTGATACCATATAAGAGTATTGTGTTTATTTCCTATAGAAGGTACAAGTGTATATAGATTGAGTAGTTAGGGTATCCTTATAGACTTAAGTACAGAATATTCATATACATAATTACATTCTTAATCTAAGCAATCATTGATATGATTTGATTCCCTTAATAATGCATCCAAGCCCAAGTTCCAGCACTACTTTAGGTGAATGGCCCCTCCTCAACTCAAGCCTCGTCCAACTTTATTCCTCATCACCAAAAATTACGTGGCTTAAAGAACCTTCTCGACCAACAAGGCATTATCCTCACTTACCATATCCGAGAGAAAGTTCCTAACCATGGTAAGTGTTTGAATTCTTTTTACAATTATAATGAGATTCCTTTTGGTTTTGGAGGATCTCCTATTAGTCAATTAGCTAGTATCTTTACATTCGATTGTCGCATTTTGTTTTCCTTTTTCTTTTATTTTTTTTTATAAGCCGACGAACATGTTAATAAAGCTCTCATACAGCATTTTACCTTGATATTTAAAAAGAGAGCACTTTCTTCCTTTGCGAATTCATCGATCTTGTGTGGTTCCCCTTGAATCCTAAGTTCATTTAACTTATCAAAGTCCGTTCATAGGGTTTATGACGTCCCCGGTTCCATCGATACCATTCACTAGATTCTCTACTGCATGCTGTGTTGCCTGTTGTGAAATCACCATACCGCCAGTCATGTTTTGCCCGTACAGGTCACTAGAAAGACGTACCTTGTGGTCCTTTCTTCGACCCGACCTGCCAAACTTATTGAATCCATTCCTGATCTTATATCAGAAATTCTTGAAGAAATTAAAAGAGAGATAGATCATTGACTTAATTTGACTTGGATGAAGTCTTGTCTTAACTCACCATTTTGATGCAACAGCAGCTTGCCACGGTTGTGGAAGATTTGTTGCGATCTTGGAAGTCATGTACAAGCCTTAAACAAGAAGTTAACTTGCAGTATTTGACTAGAGGTTGAAGGAGGATCAGTTGAGTGAGAGCTTAAGCTCGCCACGCGAGGGGATCTTCTGGCCTTGCAATGGGTCATCGTGGCCATGGCGCCTGGACGTCAGGTGTAAGCTCAGCTTGCTATGTCATGGTGGCTCGAATTTAACTTCATATAAATGGGTGAGGCGTTCTAATTCATAATTTTTTCATCTTATTATATTTTTTTCTTTCCAGTTATTTCTTGTTCTATTTTTAATCCCATGTTTCTGTTCTAAAATGGGAATGTGATATAAATTTTTATTCTACTTTGAAAATGGGACAAAATAAAATGATACTCCAAGCTCTAAAAAATCTACAAGATATTAACATAAGAGATGAAGTTTTAAAAAATCATATAAAAATATATGATCTCATTAATATCATAAAATAATAATTAGTATATACTTTCTTTATTTAACATAGTAAATTATGTTTGAAAAAGAAAATTATTTCAAATTCTACTATGTTTTAATTTTTCAATAAAAAAATTAACTAGTTTTATATTATATATGACTTTTTGTATTTTATAATTTGTTTTATTGTGGTTGAAATTTATATCAAATTTGTTATTTTATATTATTTCTATTTAAAAATTCTTTTGATGCTATTTTGAGATATTTTTCATAAATTAATAACTTTCTAAATTAATAAAACATCAAAATACCTCTAATATTATTGATTTATAGAGTTTTTACTACCTCTTATAGATAATTTTCTAGAATAAATGCATACCAGTAGCAGATTAACTGGTCAAACAATTACAAGTAGATTAAATACAGATTTATCGTAAACTAAATGAAAATTAATGGTAGACCGACTGTACATTACTAAATTTTTCTTACAATTTTCAATGTTAAAAATCTTATTTTCATAGTAGAATTGGTAAAGAAACTATTTAAATATATAATCCTTTTAATTTAATAACAAAAAAAGGAAGAAACACGCCATATTTGCCATACCGTCGCGTTGGAATTGCTCGAATGAAAATAAAGCAAATTGAAAGACACACGAATACCCAAAGACGAGATGAAGGAAAAATACAACAAAGCTATAAAATAACTTAAACGCTACAAAAGGACGTATCACCCTAGTTAAATAAGTGATAGAGATAGAATACAGATATATACATATATTTAAATACTTTCAACTAATATTTTTTTCCAAATTGATATAAAACTACCTTCATTGTCAATATAGTCAATGCTAAAATATTATATAAACTTATTATCAATTTTCATAAGATTTAGAGTTTTACTTGTGACCGTATAAATTAATTAGGTTAATCGAAAATATTAGTTGGTTAAACGATCAAATTAAAATTAGTTTAAAAAATATTTGGTAAACTGAATATTTTATGATTTAAACTTAAACTTTAAAATTTAGGTTTAAATAAAACGAAAATCAAAAATTAGATTATATTAATTTGTTAATTTTATTAAGGATAATAAAGAATAAATAGTAATCAATTATTATAACTCTCAACCAGAGCCCAATTTGGTTGCCAACTAATAATATGATTAAATATGTAAATAATAGACTGGTGTTAAATCTAATGGAAGCACTTGGAAGTTGCAACATACCTTGTTTCTCTAGATATATATAAAGCACATGTATACACGGCACGAATGAGTGTTTTGTTCGGTTTTATGAGGAGATAAACCCTCTGAATAGATGTGGGTGCTGTTTTGATTGTAACGTCTGTGAATTTTACGAAAAAGTTCAAAAAAACGTCTGTAAAATTTAATCTCGGTGGAAGTACACGTGTTCATATTTGCTGTAGTGCCCCGAAAAGAAGACAAAAAAATCTTTAAAATGGCCACCAAAACTGAAAGCATAAATAGCGTGGGAGAAGCAATGTGAGCTTAATCACATAGAAGGAAAACAAATAAACATACATAACTATTACTCCATGATGATGAAGCACAAAGCCAACATAGCAATGGTGTTTGTACAGATTATATACGCAGGAATGCCACTGCTTTCGAAAGTGGCCATCTCTCAAGGAATCAACCCGTTTGTCTTTGTTTTCTACCGACAAGCCTTCGCGGCTCTTGCCTTGTCCCCTTTCGCATTCTTCCTTGAAAGGTTCTTCTGTTTTCTTACTCCATTCTATTTCTTTTAATAATAAAAAAAAAAACTGTGATATCAGCAACCCTTCAACAAATATGATATAGTTCATGGTGCAAGCAACTCGAAACTATGAAGCCGTATTCTCATTTTCTTAACGCTTTTTTTTTCTTTTTGCAGCTCCAAGTCCTCCCCTCTATCGTCTGTCTTGCTGCTGAAAATATTCATGATCTCCTTATGCGGGTATATATATGTCTTGTGTTACTTCCATAAATTGGAAATTCCTAAGACTAAAAAAGTATATATTTTTATTGTTAAACAAAAATACAGACTGACGCTAAGTCTTAACCTCTACTATGTGGCCATCGTTAACACCACGGCCACCTTCGCGGCAGCCACCACCAATGCCATCCCCTCTATCACCTTCGTCTTGGCTCTCCTATTCAGGTACATAAGACAAAATAATTATTTCCCTCTTCACATATGTTCTGTTTGGATCTGCAATTATTTTTTCATTTTTTTTCTTTTAAATCAGGGGTGAGGGTATACTTTAGTCTAGTTTTATAAATTTTACTAGGTATATAACTAGCGTTACGCGCGAGTCTGTATTAATATTTTAGTTTATTTTTTTAGCTACTATTTTTAAAATTATTTAAAATAATATATATTTATAGAAATTTTCATTTATATAAGAAAATTTAATATTTAATGTGTAATTTATCTTATTTTTATTTATAAATTTAAAAAACTATTAGGTAAAATAATAACATTGATACCTATCGAATTATCCAATTTTGACGTACATATATATTTATTTAGAAAAATATAATTTTGTTTAGATTTTGGTACGATTTTCTGTTTTCCATAGATTTCTATAGTTTTTTTCTCTTGAAAGTTTATGTGTTCAAATATTTAGTTTTTTATTGAAAGTTTTATTGATGTTGTTTACCACTGTATATTTAATCCATGATTCATGTTGATTCACATTTAATTTTGTTAGGAAGCTGTAATGATCATGCAAAACCATTTTTTCCTTATCCATCATGTCTTCCAAGAGTTTTATGTTATATTTTTATTCAGTTTTCATTGTTTTAATAGTTAAATCGAGTTGTTGTAGATTTTTTAACATTGATAATTAATAATGGTTACTTTTTTATACATGTATTGTTAATTGTTAATTTTTTATTGAACTTTTAAAATTTTAAACCATATTAACATTTTCTGATTTAATAAAAATATTGATTTGGATTAATCATATTAAATTTATTTTTTTGTTAGACATAATTTATTAAATTAATTTTTAATATTTTAATTATACTTAATAATTTGTAGTTTGATTTAAAAGCTGATGTGGACCAACTAAATCAATATTTTCTGTCTTAATCATACTTAACATTTTTTTATTTAATGAATATGTTAATGTGGACCAATCAGATCGAGTTTTTTAATCTCATGTGGATGCTCTCAATGCACTATGCCATCAACTTTTATATATTATATGATTTAAAAACTAAAATGTCGTGATCACATCAAATCTGAAAATCACTTTAATGTATTATAGTATTTCTTTTAATATTCTTAAAGCATATATGATAACCCAAATTATTTGACTTTTCATTTATTAATTTCGTATCAAAATTAGAATCTCGTGCTGATTTTGTAAGAATTTCAATTCCATGCTCATTGATACTTTAATATTAATTTTATATGAGTTATATATTTTCCAAAATTCATAATATAATATCATAATATATAATAGTAATTGTATTTTTGCCATTTGAAAAAACAATATCCTGTGATAGTTTTAAATACGTATTTCAACTGTGAGAAATGAAATATATAAATAAATATATAGAGTCAATAATTGACAAATTAAACTATAAATATTTTAAGTAAACTTATTTCTTAATTCTAGTTTGCTCAAATATCTTTAGCAGATAGACAATATAGAACAAAGTTATCTATATTATATATTTCGAACCAATATACGTATCTAGAATTCAGTTGATAATTATCCCACTGACCCTAACCGGAATTCACCCAATTAATTTTAACAAAAAAAAAAAAAGATTAGAGGAGGTGACACTGAAGAAGTCACACGGAGTGGCCAAAGTATTTGGTTCGCTGGTTGGAATGTTGGGCGCTTTAGTGTTCGCTTTTGTGAAAGGGCCAAGTTTAATTAACCATTATAAGAGCAAGATTATCTCAAACGATGCTGTTCCGTCAACTAAAGATTCTGTAAAGGGATCCTTCACTATGCTTGCAGCCAATACCTGTTGGTGTTTGTGGATTGTCTTGCAGGTACGCCACTCAGTTCACTAGTTGCGTACTAATTCTCGCATTCTCTCTTTTTTTTAATCATTGCTGCTTTTGTTAATGTTCCCTCTATGTATAATTGGTTTATCAAACCGCGGGTTACGGTAATATCAACTTATCTTATCTTTTCTTATTCACATCTATTCATTACGGCAAGAATTTTTTAATTTTTGAGTAATAGCATTAAATGACCATAGTTTGCAAAAACAACATATAACCAAATCGTAAATGAGTGATTCATTTATCGGATGTGTTTTCTTAAAATTACTTGAATTTTTGTTTTATTATATGAATAACAAGTATCATGTTATTTTATCGATAGTTTATGTGATATCATACTATTAGTTTAAATCATGCACAAAAACTCACTATTTATTTACGGGTTAACTATCACCACATTAAATTACAAGTTTTGCTCCCAGTGTGGTGGTTTTCTACCCAAGAATCCCTAATGTACATGTATATACATACTTGTGTATACAAGTTCATCTTTTGTTTTATTTGTAAGATAATTTTGAATCGTTTTAGTTACCTAAAAAATTACGATAGTATCAAAATTAATGAATTTTGTAAAACTCCATACAAATTTAGTTTTGATTAACATTTTTTACATTATCCAGATATATATATATATAATTTTTTTTAAAATCAAAGTTAATCATTTTATCTATGTGATAAAAGTCATTTTAATTATTTCTTTTTTTTTGTTCATAGCTTAATGAAGTGAGTTTTCGATATTTACCTAATTGGGCCTCCACCACGGTATGAAAAAAGACTGGTCCACGTTTATGTTGCCGATTCAATTTCAAAGCACAAACATCATTCATCATCAATCAGCTGCCAAAATATTCAACAGCTTTTGAACCCAAAAGTATTCAATAATTTCTGTCACTTGTACGGAGGCAGTGAACCAACGTATATGATTAGTTTCAGACGTAGTAGACGTTATTTAGTTATATTTTGGGTACGTAATTTCACTAACTAGATAAATTTTGAAACTTTTATAAATTGATAAATGATTGATTAGTTAAGGCTATAATTTCAGTGTCCATGTGCACTCCCAGTTCCATTCGAATATTTTACTAAATGAATAAATAAATCCACCTGGATGATCTGGTTGTACCGGCCCTTTGCGATCAGATTACATTCATATTAATCAATTTGCTTTCCGATCTTTGTCCATTTATTACTAGACATCTAAAATATATAATACTTCCATTATTTGATTTTTACTTTAAGAAAGGAGTACATTCTTTAACAATTTTTATTAGAGCAAGGTGATGAAGGAATATCCGGCGAAGTTGCGACTGGTAACACTTCAATGTGTGTTTAGTTGCATACAAACCGCAGTTTGGGCAGTCGCTGTGAACAGAAGTCCATCCGTTTGGAAGATCGAATTTGGCTTACCTCTTTTGTCGATGGCTTATTGTGTATGTCTACCTAATCCCATCTCTAGTCTCTAAATATGAAATCACTCTTTATCTTTTCTTGAAATAATGATAAAATATAATTCAACAGGGGATTATTGTAACTGGATTTACATATTGGTTACAAGTTTGGGCAATAGAAAAGAAGGGACCAGTATTTACTGCACTCTACACTCCTCTGGCTCTCATTATTACCTGCATCGTCTCATCTTTCCTTTTCAAGGAAACACTTTATCTTGGAAGGTTTATTGATTTTCTTAAAAATATGATTTCTTGAAAATTATATTTACGTAAACGAATATGTCTAGAAGTATTTGATGTTGAGAATGTGTGTATGGACTTGGGTATATAATTGGAGCAGTGTTGGTGGAGCATTATTGTTGGTCACTGGACTATACATTGGTCTGTGGGGTAAAACTAAAGAAGAAGAAGTACAAATATATGGTGAAAAGCATTGCCAACAAGAGGTTAAAGAAGAAGTTATCATCGTCCTGGATAGCGTCTCCACCCATCACTAGTCAAAAAACTTTAAGTTTGCTTCACGCAAATTTCAAGTCTTTGTTCCCTTTTATCATTGGTACAATGTCTCAGCTATCACATTAATAATGCCCGCAATGCATGTAAATATAAATGTGATTCTTTTTTATTGGGTGAGCTTGGTTCTTAATCGGTTTTCGAGATTTGTACAACTATTTCACATAAGTCATCAAGGAATTAACTGAGACTGAAAAACCCAACAAACACAAAACTTTTTATATTTTGGAAGGTACGGAGTCAAGTGCTTGCTTCCCTAGAGATTCTAAAACTTAATCATTAGAACAGCTCTATCGCTGGTTTCTTAACTAAGAATTTTATAATTTAATAATAGAAAAAAATAAAATAAAATATGAAAGAAGATGAGAGAAGTCAGAAAAACTTAGACTAAGGCTTAAAAAGTTTTCCTTGTTTGGGTTTAGAATTCTCTTTCCCGTTTATAGTCTTTCACTTTAAAAAGATAGAACTTCGTTTCGGATATTTATTCCGCTTTGTCTTTTTGTTTACAAAAAAAAAATTGACTTTTCATACTATTTTGTTCCAATCCTCTTTGAAAAAGGGTTTTTGCAAGCGGTTTTTCAACAATTCCTCTTCTATAATATTTTCTAGCTTTTGTTTTTGGAGTTTCTTTGTTGAAGTTGATTCGCTTAACAAAGCTTTGATGGCGATGTCTCACAAGAAGATGACACTCCTGCCGATTTTCCTAATCTGCATCAATTTATGTTCGGCTGAAATAATACCCAGAGCTTGATCGGCCGAATTCTCAATCCAGATAGTCAGAAAGTGTCTGACATAGTTTTTGATATGTCTCGTAAGTGGGGGAAAGTAAACAAAATCAGAGGTATTGCTCTATCTAAAGAGCGATTCCAATCCATCTTTCAGTTTGCGCATGACCTTGAAGAAATCTTAGCAAAAGGTGTTCAATCATATAATCAGTGGACCTTTATACTTGAGAGATGGGTGGAACATCCGTCGGCTGATTTTCTACAGTTTATACCGGTTTGGGTTCGGATTAAAAACATACTAGTGTATAATTATACAGCAGCTTCAATTACGTATTTTGGGGAGTTTGTTTGTATTGTGAAAGAAGTTGCGTTCGATCCAACTCAATCCCAAAGCAAAGGATTCGTCAGAGCAAAAGTTCTTCATGATGTTTCTAGACCTCTTCGACGAGCAAAATTGATTAATATGCCTGAAGGGGTATCTGTCAATATTCATTATGATTTTGAACAAATCTAGAAACAGTGTTTTTCATGTCAAAGAATCACTCATTCTCAAGACAAATGCCCAGTTTTCCTAAAAGCTAATCAAATGAATGAGGCAATTCGCAGAGAGTATATGGGAAGACGGAAGCCTCCTTCTGCACCGGTGATTAAAAATTTGGATCCTCTTTATGGGGTTCTTAAATAAGATCAAGTTGGAACTGATCCAAACACTTGTAGACTCAGGACTGACTCTGAAGTTCTTGAAGGCATGAGGTAATATTTGTTGATAGCAACTGAACCTGAGAGATTGATTAGAGAGGCTCGTATCAAAAGATCAATATCAAGTCTTGATAATGATCCCTTGGGATAGAAATCAATTCTCAAACTTGAAGTGGTCAAAGTTGTTTCAAATGATATGAACAAAGGTAAATGCATAGTTTTTAATTTTTCTGCGAAGGATGTATGCAATGCAGAGGCAAGGAAAAGATGTGACAATAAGTTGATGGCATCAACATTTGATTCTGGTGGGGCTATGCATCAAGTTTCTTTTTTGTCAACGCTTTATTCAGAAGGAATGGTGGATAATATGGTCCTTGAATATCATGTTCTTCAATATTGTCCAATGGTATATGGTATTGGCAATTCTCAAGCCAGTCCATCCAGGACAAAAGTGACAAAAGCAAAACAGAGAAGAATACCATATGTTAGTAAGCGAGTTCTAAAGAGTCTTGATGTTGGGATTCAGATGGTTTCTCGTAATAATAATCAGGGTTCTGAAGCTTCTGGTTCAGGAAAAAGGAAAGAAGGTCCAAGTTCCAAAGGAATGTTAAACTCAGGGAAGCGTTTGTCTTCTCAGGTGATCCCGCGTGAGGGATCGCCAATTCTGTCATGAGCTTCTTGAGTTCGAATTGTCAAGGCTTGGGACAGTCTCAGGATTTGACAATTCCTCGTCTTCAGAAAATACGTAAAAAGTATTTTCCAGAGATTTTGTTTTTGATGGAAACCAAAACTTGTAGAAATGTTCATGTGGATATTCAAGCTTGGTTGGGGTATGATCGGCTGTATACAGTAGAGCCTGAAGGTTTGAGTGGTGGTTTAGCTCTTATGTTGAAAAGTTCATTTGCTGTTGATATCAAGTTTGCTGCTAAAAACTTAATAGATTGTGAAGTGTGTTTCGATTCCATGAGGTTTTCTATCTCTTGTATATATGATGACCTTACTGCTCAGTTTCGGTCTCATGTTTGGAAAAAAATTTCTCGAATTGATGTAAATAGGAAATCTTGTTGGTGTATGTTTGGTCACTTTAATGATCTTTTGCATACTGAAGAGAAAGTTGGAGGGCCTTTAAGAAGAGATGCTGATTGTAAATCTTTTTCAGATATGATAAATGTTAGTAGAATGACAGAATTGAGAAGTGCTGGTAATGCTTTCACTTGGGGAGGATGACATTTTAATCAGTGGATTCAATGCAAGCTTGATGGGTGTTTTGGATATAAAGCTTGGTTTCAATTGTTCTAGCGTCAAATGAAAGTTTTTGGAAAAAAAAAGATCAGATCATCGCCCTGTTTTGATCAGTTGGATGGCATCTCAAGAATCTTACCGTGGACAATTCAAATTTGACAAGAGATTCCTTAATATTCTAGGGATCAGGGATGTTATTGTCATGCATGGTCGAATAATAATACCATATATCATGATTCTGTTTCTGATAAGTTGCGAATTGATAGAAAAAGTATAAGCAAACAGAAAAGGGAGGTTAACATGAATTCTCAGGATCGCATTTCTCAACTACATAATGCTCTTGAAGTGAAACAATCGTCTAGCCATCCTTGCTTTTAATAGGTGTTTTCTCTGAAAAAAAAAATCATTATAGCTTATAAGGATGAAGAGTCCTTTTGGAGTCAGAAATGCAGAGACAAATGGTTACGTGAAGGAGATTCAAACACGAAATTTTATCATGCTTCTGTTTCAGCCACTCGATCAAGAAAGATGATTGAAAGTCTTCACGATGTAAATGGTTTTATTCAATCTTCTGAAGCATCAAAAGGGGAAGTGGCAATCAAATATTTTCAGGATTTATTTACTTCCACTGGTGCAGGAAATTTCCATCATCTTTTCTAAGGATTTACTTCCAGAATATCTCAAGCAATAAATAAAAAGTTGATTAGTGTCATCACTAAAGAAGAAGTAAGAGTTGCTGTTTTTGCTATCAATCCTTCAAATGCGCCTGGACCTGATGGCATGTCAGGGATGTTTTATCAAAAAATTTGGTCAATTGTTGGTGATCAGGTTATAAATGAGGTTCAACAGTTCTTTCTCTCTAGTTCATTCCCTCATGAGTGGAACTACACTCATTTGTGTTTATTGCCAAAGAAGAATGTCAGATCTGAGACCAATCAGTCTTTGCTTGGTATTATACACAATTATCTCAAAGATTTTAGTTCATCGGTTACAACCAATTCTGACGGACTTGATTTCTCCAAATCAATCAGCTTTTGTGGCTGAGCGTCTTATTTCTGATAAAATTTTGGTAGCACACGAAGTTGTCCATGCCCTACAAACCCATCCGGCAATTTCTAAAGAGTTTTTAGCGGTGAAATCAGATATGTCCAAAGCTTACGACAGAGTTGAGTGGGGCTATCTTCAAGGTCTATTGTCTGCTATTGGGTTTCATCATAAATGGATTGGTTGGATTATGGTTTGTGTTTTAACAGTTACTTTCTCAAATTTAATCAACGATAAGCCCTTCGGTTTGATTACTCCTAGAAGAGGTCTGAGACAAGGAGATCCTCTATCTCCTTTCTTATTTGTAATGTGCACAGAGGGGCTAACACATTTATTAAATAAAGCTGAGCAGAATGGTGTGATTTCAGGGATCTATTTCTCCAATACAGGACCTTCTATTCACCATCTTCTTTTTGCTGATGACAGCCTTTTCATGTGTAAAGCTTCTGTAAATCAGTGTGAAGCCTTTCCAAGCATTCTCAACGTTTATGGAGACGCAACTGGACAGAGAATTAACTTAGACAAATCTTCAATTACTTTTGGATCAAAGGTTCATAAAACAACACAAGGCGTAATTCAAGCTAGGTTGGGGATTTTCAATGAAGGTGGTGCTGGTATGTGTCTTGATCTTCCTGAATGTTTTAGTGGTTCCAAAATAGAGATGTGTTGGTATATCAATGATCGGTTGAAATCAAGAATGTTTGGCTGGTTTGCTAGATCATTGTCTCTCGGGGGAAAAGAAGTATTTTTGCAAACAGTAGCTTTGGCGATGCCTATATTTGCAATGTCTTGTTACAAACTTCCTAAAACAACCTGTTCAACCTTAACATCTGCAATGTCCCAGTTCTGGTGGAATTCTATGGAGAATATCAAGAAGATTCATTGGATAAGTTGGGAAAAGATGTGTTTATCTAAAGATCTTGGTTGTTTGGGTTTTCGAGATATTGCATGTTTCAACCAGGCCTTATTAGCAAAATAATCTTGGAGAATATTACAAAATTCTTCCTGCTTGTTCGCCAGAGTTTTCAAAAGGAGGTATTTTGATAAAGGGTCTGTTCTTGAAGCTAATTTAGGGCTCAGACCTTCTTATGCTTGGAGGTCTATCTTAAATGGACGTGATTTACTCCTACAAGGGTTGAGAAAGGAGGTTGGTAATGGGAAATCCATTCAAATCTGGTCGGATCCGCGTATTTATGATGGTAGTATGAGACAACCTATGATGAGGAGTCCTAATGTTGACCTCAATCTACGGGTTAGTGACATTTTGGATCAGAGTTCAAGAAGCTGGAACAGAAGAATGTTAGAGGATTTTCTTTCCAGCTGATGTTGAGTTGAATGTTAAGAAAAAACCAGCGGTGAGCGAGGAAGACACTTGGTCTTCGCTTCACAATAGAAATGGCGATTACTCTGTTAGATCTGGTTATTTGCTTGCTTTCAAACAGAGTAAGAAAGATTTAATTGCTCAAGCTTCGATGATGCCTTCAATTAATGGTTTGAAGGAATCATTTGGGTGTATCCGAACAGCCCCAAAAATAAGAAATTTTCTA